TTGCGTTAGAGAGCCCACACCAGGAGGGCTTGGGAAAATCATTGTCCTCGTCGTCATCCGTCCGTCCTTCGTCCGTCGTCGTCGCCGTCGGTCCGTCAGTCTGTCCGTCCGTCCGTCGTCTTCGTCGTCCATCCGTCCGTCCGTCACCGTCGTCGTCCGTCGTCGCCGCCGTCGCTCGTCTTTGTCAGCCGTTTCGGCTTCTTCGGCGCGCCAGCGATGCCCGCGGCCTTCGTGCCCCAGCCCCGCGCAGTGTGTGGAGGGGACGCACAGCGAAGTCATAACCCATCTCTTCGTCGAGATGTTTTTCGAATCCGGCAAGGGGACAATCACAAGTTGATCCAATTCGAAAACTATCCTCAGCGAATGGATCGACAGGTTTTGTGGCCCACATGCTCCGTCCAAGCATTGATTGCATGGGCCCCCGAAGGCCCGCCAAGGGCCGCCAACGGTCCCCAGAGGCCTTCCGAAGACTGCCAAGGGCCGCCGATGGTCTCCGATGGGCACGGGCGGGTCCACCTGTCTTTCCGTTCGTGTGGGCTCGTCGATCCATGTTTTGAAGCGGGCGGTGAGAGCGGAAAGGTGACGATGACGAGGAGGATTTGGAGAAGGAGGGAGAGAAGGTGGAGGGGGAGGCAATCAGGAGGAGGAAGGCAAGCAGGAGGAGGAGGAGGAGGAGGAGGAGGAGGAGGAGGAGGAGGAGCGGCGACAGCGATGTTTGTAGCGGCGTTCGCTTGTCTGCAGGGGTGCCATGTGGCCGCGTCGAGACGGTGCGAGCCCGCCGTAGATCTCTGCAGGTTTCTGGAGTTCTCCAGCGGTCCCCAGAGGTCTCCGCGGAGTCTTTGGGGGCCTCTGCCTCCGGAGACCTTGCGGAGGCCCTCCAGAGGCCTGCGGAGGCCTTGAGGCTGCCCGATATCTGGCTAGCGGCTTCGGCGGAGGGAGTCGGGCACGTGCAGTGTTCGGAGCCACGGCGACTGGGTGATTGCCCCTGCTCCTCCCGCTCCTCCCACGGCATGGGGAGCGGGAGGAGCGGGGAGGAGCGCAGAAGAGGAGGAGGCACTCGCCGGCCCCACCATCACTGCCGCTCCTGCTGTCCGGTGTGTTGCCTCAAAGCGCTTGCTCGCCCGTCTGGGGGGCCATGCGGGCCATGCGGCGCCCGGGTGGGGCGGGGCAAGATCCGACGAGCGGGCCCCGGCGCCCGTAGCGTGCGCGCGTGGGGGAGGAGCGTCGGGAGCGCTGTCTATTGTGTGGCTTTCGCTCATTCCGCCGGCCCATCTTGCATCACTCGTGCTATATGTTGGTGTGCTCGTGGCGAGCGAGGAGGAGGAGGAGGAGGAGGAGGAGGAGGAGGAGGAGGAGGAGGAGGAGGAGGAGGAGGAGGAGGAGGAGGAGGAGGAGGAGGAGGAGGAGGAGGAGGAGGAGGAGGAGGAGGAGGAGGAGGAGGAGGAGGAGGAGGAGGAGGAGGAGGAGGAGGAGGAGGAGGAAGGAGGAGGGAGGAGGGGGGGGGGTGAGGAGGAGGAGGAGGAGGAGGAAGGAGGAGGAGGAAGAGGAGGAGGAAGAGGAGGAGAAGGAGGAGGAGGAGGACTCTGGGGCTGTCTTGGGGCGGTCTGGGGCCGTTTTGGGGCGCTCTTGGAGGCCTCTTGGGCCGTGTTTTTGGCGATCTTGGGGGACTCTTGGGCCGTCTTGGAGCGCCGGTAAGTGAAACGACGAGAACGCCACTATCCTTCAAATACGCATGGCAAAGCACTAATTTGTGCCTCTGGGAGCCCTCTTGGGAGGTCTCTTGGAGGATGCTTGGGGCGTCTTGCAGGCTTCTTCTTGGACCGTCTGGATGCAATCTTGGGGTCTTGGACTGGTCGTTCGGTGACTCGGAGCCCTCTTGGACCATCTTGGGGGCCTCTTTGGGCTCTCTTGGCGCGCCCTCGGGGCCTGAGAGGCCGCACCCAGGAGGAAAATCATCTTCGAGTAAAGGTTCGCTGGGGATCAGCCGGGGTACTTTTGATTCGGGGACCCCTAGGGACTCTGGGGCGGTCCCGCGCGCGCGAATTAGAAAACTTCTAAACTAGTTACCAGAGATCTTAGCACGCCTCTGGCCCGTTGGGCTGGCGAATTTTGTGGTTTTTGCTTCGCAGCGGTGTGCTGCCCGATCTCACATCGTGGTTTCCGCAGCCGCCGCCGTAGCCGTGGCCGCCTCTGGCGCCGCCGCTGCTTCGGTGAATGGAGTCGGGCGCGCGGAGTGCTCGAGAGCACGGTTGCTGGATGCTTCATGCGTGCAGTGCAGGTGCAGGTCGGCGGCGCTTACAAAGCGGCAGGGCCAGGGGTGGCGGCCTTCTCAGAGGGCAGAGGGATCGCCCCCGTCCGAGAAAGCCGCGCGCACGCCCGACGCATTCGGAGAGGCAGGGGACCTTCAAGAATGGCTCCTCCCTCGCCCTGTCCGCTTCCGCGCGCCGCCACAGCGTGTGTGGCGCTGGCTTCCCATTCCGCCGCCCTTTGGAAGGGCTTCAGAGGAGGCAGGGGCCTTCTTTGGAGGGACTGGCCTCTTGAGAAAGGTTCGAGGATCGAGGATGCAGGTCTTGATAATGTTTATGCCTCTCTCATCCTGGGCTGGACTCCCCCTCAAGGACCCAGCCAAAGCCCCAGGAGAGTTGAAGGGCAGACTTTGAGGTCGGGGGCCACCCCTTCAAGAAGCCCTCTGAGAAGGCCGCGCTCTCGTGCTTCCCACTTCTGCGCTGCAACGCAGCGTGGTCGGCGCTGGCTTCCTATTGCATGCGGCCCCTCACTGAGCGCCAGATGGGGAGGGGAAACATAATTTGAACAGGCGTGTGGCGTCGAGAATGGGGGGTCGTGCGGGGTGCATGCCATGCCCAATGAAGCACTGAGAAGAAGGAAGCGTGAAGGTCCACGGAATGAAGGAAAGTGCGCCAGTGGATCTCCCTGAATACACTAAGGGGGGGGGTCCAGAACACCCCGCCCCCCCTCCCCCCCTTCAAGGGGGGGAGGGGGGTCCGGACCCCCCCCCCCTCCCTCCCCCTTAAGGGGGAGGGGGTCCCGACCCCCCCCCCACCCTCCCCCCCTTGGCGCTGGAAGGGGGGGGGGGGGGTCGGACCCCCCCCTCGTGTAGGGAGTACGGAGTTGGAGTTGGGAGTAGGGAGTGGTGAGTAGTGCGCAGTGAGTTAGTGTAGTGAGTATTGGGTAGTGAGTAGTGGGTAGTGAGTGGCGAGAAGGGAGTAGGGAGCGACGGGTCGGGGAAAGGGGGGGAGGGGTGGGGGTCCCCCACGACGGATCGGGGAAGGGGGGGAGGGGGGGGGTCCCCGACGACGGATCGGGGAAGGGGGGGGGGTCCTAACCCCCCCCCCCCCCTTGGGGAGATCCAGCGGCGCACCCTCGAAGGAACGAAGGGCATAACAGGCAGTATATGTTGTACGCAGCAGTTCGCACGAGCTGTTGGTGGCGTTACGCACCAGGCAATCGAAGCACATCATTTTGCCGTGGGTCCTCTTGGGCATGTGTGTGATGCAGCACTGTCATCGTCTGGAATAGCGCTCTTTCAACGTTATCTGCGCGTATTGGCTCTGTGGCGCTTTTCATGTTGAATGTGCAATCTATTTTCCTGGGTGGGCTCACGCGGGCTCCAACTCTCCTCCAGCAGAGTTGCGCATGCACCTCCGCATACGTATTGGAGTGATAAGCGGCCCAATCATCTGTTTCCCGTGGGTCGAACATTGACAAACTTGCATCTCAGCGTAGTTGCGTTGCGGAGCAGGTGTGTGCAATAATTGGTCGCTTCCCGCCGAAGATGCCTGGCTGTCGACGTTGTCGGCATGCTGGTCTGTCGGACGCAGATTTAGCGGCGCAGCCGCTGGTTCTCGGAGGGCTTAGCTAAACTGTCGCGGTCTAGTTGATGGCGGCGGGGCTTCCAAGTTGCGTGTGCCTTCTTTTCTCCAGTCTTGCACCAGAATGTTCAAGGCAGC